GACCACTGGTTGTTTCAGTCATGGAATTCCGCAGCCGGTGGTGTTCTGTTTTTAATATAATATGTTTTGTATATTTTCTTTTGGATATGAAATGTACTATATTAAAAATATGATAAATTATTATTAGTAAGATAAGTACGAATTAAGATAGTAAGATGGTAATTTCAAAACACATCATTATAATAAATTGTCACACGTATATTAGTAACATTATAATATAAGCTGTTATACTCTATTTAATAGCGTTCATTATATCTCACAGCTGGATTCAATTTATAACATTTAGTCGTAGTGAAATGACACCTTAAACGTCGCCAGTGAAATTGTACCTCGCAATACATTACTCGTTAATGTGACTCGTGTTGTTACGCGAAAAATGATTAGTTGTATTTACTCATGACCACTGATTCATTTACTCAACCTAAACGTCGAGATAAAATTAACTGAAATGCTATTCCAACTGATTCATAGAGCTTACAGATTTAAAATATTTAAATACGTTAACAATAGAAACGAATAAGATTACCTACAGTATTTTAATCCTAATAAGGACTTAGAAGATATCATTGGACCCTTTTAAAAGAAAAATAATTCTATAGAATACTAGCTGTCACCCGCGACTCCGTCCGCGCGGGATGAAAAATAGATGTTGGCCGATTCACAGACCTACTCAATATGCTCACAAAATTTCATGAGAATCGGTCAAACCGTTTCGTAGGAGTATAGGAACGAAAATTCTGACACGAGAATTTTATATATAAGATATGTCAAGTAGCTGTCATCCGCGACTCATAAGAAAACTTATAAGTAGGATATTTGTACGCGCAGACAGTGTTCTATTATATATTATAATACATCTATGCTAAGTTTCATAAAAATCCATTGAGCATTTCCGGAGATACTTTCTAACATCTATTCATCCATCCATCTAAACATTCGCATTTATAATGTAAGACTATCCTACTATCAAAATCTATATTATTTCTTAATGTTTGAATTTAAAGTCATTGTTTTAAACAGAGAAAGCGGTAGAGGCGCTGCTAAAATTACACCTAGTGTTAGCATCTATTCCCAGATGACAAGCGAGCGAGATACATAACGCATTTGTAACCCTATATCTTCCTAGAGCTTCTCTAAATACATGTTAGAAATTTAACAAGCTTTGTCGTGTCATGATTGACATCAGTGGGCGTAATCGTATCGTCATCGACAAGAATTGTTTTAAAATTTTCGGGCGTAAACTACACTAAAAATGATTTACTAATCTGTACATGATTAGACGACGTCATGGAAGTAATAATATTGAACAGACGCGTAATTATAAAAATAATATGGATGGCTACACAGGTAGAGGAAGTCCAATGAAAGTATGGATGGATTGTCTGAAAGAGGTTATACGTAGGAAGGGGGAAGATTCGGATATGACGGCTGATAGAGATGTATGGAGGAGTAGTACATACTGTGCCGAACCTCCGTAGGGATAAGGACACGTTGATGACGATGATAATGATGATTTCAAGGTGAGTATAATATGTATATCTTAAAGAAAGTCAAAGGTTGTAGACGTAAGTCCTTAAGGAAGGAGAACATATAAAAGATAAACAATTCCATAAAAATCTTTTTTAATAATTTTATTTACAGTAAATAACAAAAATATATTAAACAAGCCAACACGAAACAAACGCAACATGAAAATCCTAACACAAGTTTTAATTGAGGCAAATGCAACATGAATTGAGAAGCAGCGCTACAATTGTGTATTTTATAATTTGATACTAGTTGCCAGTCACGTCCTGACAGAAACAATCAGATGCAACGCATACCCAATGGATAAATAACTGGAAGCCGTGATTGCAATCCATTTATAGGTCAAATGGAAATGAACAGAGAAGATTTGATAGAGAAATTCCTCTAAAACGTGCTTAGTTTATAAAATTAATAGCTGTAAAAAAATAATAATTAGTAACCCATGTGTTCTTCCAGACTATGTCCTATTACCTGTTTTTTTTTTCTTTTTTTCAGGTGGGAATGCTTTATGCTTACTCCGTTTAGATCGTAGTCAGCTCATATACATTTTTACTTAAGGTTTGACCCTACCCTTAGACCTGATTAGACCTTAGTCAACAACCCCGGCCCCTTGCGGACTAGTTGATTTCAAGCACACCTTTGAATATCTTTCTAATGCGAATGGTTTCTTACGAGACTTTTTAACAAGATAAAAATTAGGTCGGGACTTTTAATGAAAAACATAACAATTACGCGTAAGTAGTGTAAGTTTTCCCTTAAGTTCCTACCTAAAAAAGCCGCGTTATAATCTGTCCACAGCGGTATTTCCAATTAAGACTCCTACAAGTAGGAACCTACAAGAAAAGAACGAACATATTAAAGGTCGGCAACTCATCTACGATTTTATTTTTAAAAAATAATAAATCATGTAAATATATTTAGTAAAAGGTCTGTTCATTTCTATTCTCTTTCATTTTCGTCTGATGAAATGGTGGGAGCATTTGGGTAGGCTGTATGAAGTGCCTCGTCAACATCTCATTAACATTGCTCGATTGAATAAGCAAGGCGCCGACAGAGCGTGACGTCACAGCTCTACACAACGGTATACTGGGCACCGAGCTGTAATATATTCGTTCCTGTTAGTATAGTCAGGTATTTTGGAGTGATTTTCCTACTTCAAATAAAAGATAATTTTTTAAAAATAATAGAATGTTAAAATCATAACGTACTAATTGACACCCGCGACTTAGTAGTGAAACAATTAATTTGTAACCTATATGTTTTTTTTTATAAAATATTAGCAGATTTTTATAAATTTACTAATATTTCTTTTACCATTCCAACTAAGCTCTAGGCTTGTGCTAGGATATGGTTTACGACAATAGTCGAATGGTGGGATTCGAACCTCCGATCTCGGGGTCCGGAATCTGCACCTTTAACCATGAGACTAATGGCATTTATTCCAGACAATATTCTATATCCATGCCAAATTTTCAGATTCATCCGTTTAGCGGTTCTGGACCTTCTAACAAACCTACATCTTACTCTATTTATCTTGAGTTTTTTTTTAATTCCGCGCGGACGGAATCGCGGACGACAGCTAGTACAAAACAATGCAGTCTTTTATTATTATTACTAGCTGTTACCCGCGATTCCGTACGCGCGGAATTAAAAAACGTCAAAGAGTAATAGACTATATGTTCTTCCTGACTATATTCTACATGTGTGCAAAATTTCATCAAGATCCTTTGAGCTGTTCCGGAGATACCTTCAAAGAAACATACATCCATCCGAACGTTCGCATTTATAATATTAGTAAGATTTATTATATTAGTATTTTAATCGCCTTGCTTTGACTAAATTAAATCGTAATTAAATTAACAAGTAAATACACTAAGATACAAATCCAAAATAGACAAAATGGTCAATTATTATTTATTACATTTAGATATTGCTAGATTTTTTTATATCACAATTATATCACAATCACAAGCGAGCGGCCACCTGAAATCGCTGAATAGCGAAGTGACCGTTGCCCATAGACATACACGATTGCATATGCGTTGCCTACCTTTAATCGAAGGAGGAGAGGACGCACAGAAAGATAATATCTCCCCTTTCAATGCATCCTCTCATCCGGAAAGTCGACTTCCACTTCCCATCCTTTCCTTAAGAGAAAAAGGGTGGGAAGGGAAAGAGGACTAAATTAGGCCTCTGGGACGCACACTCGTCAGACGAAACGCGGAATTGCTTCCACATGACGCCTGTCTTCTGTGTGGTCGTGGTATTTCACCGGGCGAGCCGGGCCGATTCGTGCGAAGATGTTAAAGCGGGCTCTACCACTGTTAAAAGATTTAACTATAGGTATAAACTAGATGTATATACTTAATCTAGACATTGTTCTACATTTCCCATTACATGATCGAACGATATTTAATCAATGTACTTGCTTTGTCAAACTAATTAGTTAATTATAAAGTCTTGTAACTCAGAACCACTTCAATAGTATTAACTGAATTATTTATTCATATAAGTTTATATGTGTAGAATTTCAGCGGTCTATGTAACATTCTTGGATAAACTATGAGCATCTTTAAACATCAACGCACTGAACTTGTCCTACCGTCATCTCCGTCCCATCGTCTTACTAATATTATAAATGCGAATGTTAAGATGGATGGATGTTTTTTTGAAGTTATCCCCTAGTTATGAAATAAATCCGGGCTTTATCTGTTTATTTTATCTACCTATTTAACTACCGTATGATAAACATTAATAAAACAACATTCATAATTACATAATGGCTTTAAACGTGTTTCTTTTATTATCTGAAAATGTTTATTTGCTATCATAGACACTTTAGTTCTAGACAAGTCATATTACCTCTTAATAATTTAGTATGCGATATGTAACCGATAAAATTTATTAAAAAGAAAACAAAAAAATAATATATTTTACAATATATTTGTATGGAGTAGATGTAATATCTAATTTTATAAAGTAACTCACCTTTTCGCTATTTAATTACCGGGTTGACTTCAGTATTGAAACGGTTTTAAATTAGTGTGGCGCCGTATTAATGAGGGTTGCCCGACTTAATTATTTCCAACGCCTCCGTTACGCAGACCGCGCAGGCATGATTTGCGGCTACCTTTGATTAACCTAACGTTAATAGAAGCAATGTTGTGTATTATCCAAAGGCTCTCTATAGTAAAATAGGTGGGACAGCCATAGAATAGTTGGTCTCGACAAGATAGTCTCAAAAAGTGCTTGTATCTTTAATCTTTCTTTAAACTTTTCCGATGTTCACAGCAATCGTTTGTTTGATTTTGATAAGCACCATCTATATGTGGCTTTAAGAACTAATACAAACGACGAACAGTCTAACGGTCGTAGTTTTTAAATACCTAATAATAGATGGCGCTGAAATGCTCATCCTCATAAAATTCATTTTGCTTAGAAGCTTAAGAAAAACTATAGAATAATAAACATACCTGATCATCATCGTCGCTTTGGAAAGTCGCCAGCCAAAAGTCTTCAATATTCTCTGGATAGTCACATTCTCTCTCAGGATCTGGACTTAAACATGGTTTCCGGTCTCTAAACACCAAAATAAGTCCACCATCCTCTTCTTCCGGCCTCCACGCACCACACATTGTCGCGACAGTGCGTTTCAAGGGACCAATGTCAGTTAATTTTAGTTTTTTCGAAGGCACTTCATCACCCGCCATTTTAGTATCACACTCCACTTGCGAAATAGAACCCGCCATTTTTTTCAAATTACGAGATATAAGTTTAATATTTATTCTACACACTTTTCGTGACAAATTTGTACATATGTATCTAATCATGCGTACTATAAGTAAATATTAATTTAAGTGAGGTTATAAACAACCCTTGTGAGTAAACAAAATCATACAACCAATTATGTTCCTGTCAATCGTATACGTTTTGTGAAACTTGTAATATTTCTTAAAGTACCAATTAAATAGCTTTTAATTTAAACCTTAACAACTTATTAATATTTTTAACACAAATTCTTGACCACAGTTAGCACAAACTCTTAACACAAGAATCACTTCGCGCGGATAGCAAGCACAACAATCAATGAATTTGAAATACACTGTAATGTAATTGTGACTGTTTAACACAGCTTTCGTTAATTTTACTATATAGTTTATGTTATTAAAAACAAGATAAAACGTTTATAGGTTAAGATGCCGCTTCTATCAATCAGCTGATAAATATAACTCGTGTTGTCGTTGACAGTTGACACTGACAGTTTTAAATGCTGCCATTATAATCTACTAGTTTTTTATCATATAGTCCCTTCGGTTTATTTTTTTTAATGTAATTAATGTTTTTAATGGAATGTGTCTTTAAAATTTTATATTTGTCTCATGTATTCTTACTATAATAAACTTATTTGTTACTCAATATTAAAGCAGCGCCATCTATGTAGTCTATCTAGAACCTATATCGCGTCAAGTTTAATGGTAAAAGTTTTCATAATTAGTTTTTACGTCAACACCTAATTACTTCATTAAAAATTATCTTTCGGAAATAGTTAAAAGATTGAAAATATAGACATATGATAATTATACTTAAAACGATGCGTCTATTAATCCGTACTCTTTCCGTTACATTCTATAGGCAACATTAAATGCACATAGATGGCGTAAGCAGTACGGAATCAAATCCTTAAAATTTACATAAGTTATGATATTATATACCACATTCATTATATATACTTTGTGTTGTTTAATTTTATAATCCTGAAAAGCAAACACTTAAAAACGTTGTTTTGTCAATTTCTTGTGTAAAAAATAAAAAAAATGCCAATAAATCTAGTCAGTTCCAACTTCGGATCGATAGTGATCTATGCCCATAGGCCACATTTTTTGAATGTAGCTTAGAAAACTAAATCAAAAATACTTACTAACTCCGTTGGCGCATCGACCCAAAGTGGGTCTTGGCCTCCGACACAAGAGATCGACAAAGTCGCCTATCCTGCGCCTTCTCCTGCCAGTCCATCGCTTCTAGCTCCCGCAGATCCAGCTCAATCAAACATACCTAAAACAATATAATTAGTCAGAAAATTGATTTTGAACTTTTACTTTAGGCCAGGCCTTTTCATTTAAATAAATTGTTTACAAAGACATCATGTTACTCATTCCCCTAACATATTTAAATTCATACAACTGATAGGGTTGACAAAAATCGAGTATTTCATGTTTTCTTTATCAACATTCGTTGTTTTAGCGAAGGTAAAATATTACCATTCCCTTTAGATGATTGTTAAACATTTTGTCGTGATCAAAGGGGCTCTCTAATATATATTTGGCTATTATTTTAAGATAAATTTATAAAAGATCGGTTGAATTAAAAAAAAATCAGTGGTAGACGACAGAAACATCTTTTGCAGGAATGGGTCGGCTTGTCCGGTGCAATACCACGACCACACAGAAGGCAGGAGTGAAGTGGAAGTAATTCCGTATTTCGTCTGATGAATGTGGTACCGGAGGCCTAATTTTAGTCCTCTTTCCTTTCCCACTCTTTTCTTATAAAGAACAGATGGTAAGGAGGAGTGATTTGACGGAAGAAGGGCCACATTGGAAGGGGATATATCCTTTTTCTTTGCCTCCTACGTCGATTCTATTAGCAGCGATCGCTTCGCTATTTCGGAGTATCCTGGTGGCCGCTTGCTCGTTTGTTAACCAATGATATAAAAAATCTAAATACACCTTATCATGTTGAAAAAATATTTTAACTTATTATTATAACATTCATCATCATCATCATCAGCTCACTACACGTCCTCACCGAGGAGCTCGGAGCCTAACCTAGTTAAGGGTGATTAGGCCATAGTCAACCACGCTGGCCAAGTGGTAACATAACATTTACTGCATAAATAAAAAAAAAACTAATAAATCGAGTGTTATCAATAAATGAATGAAATTTTACATTTTTATTACTATAAATGTAATTCGGAATGTAAAGTATCTAAAAAATAATAAACGAAATGGAATTTTATCGTTAAATTATACTTAAATTCTACAAATTTCTTGTAACCATAAAGAATTTATTATGTTGAATTTTTAACATTGATTTCTTTGTAAAATTAGTATATAAGTTTGAAATTATTAGAAATGAATATTACTTAGTTTTGTTGAACGGTAAAGTAATTGTAAAAATGTTGAAATTTATTTTATTAATTACAATTTTTATAATTGTTGTTGGAGCACTTGATCTTAATCGATTGAACAAAGGTCTTATAGAACCGAGCAGCGTTAGTTACGATATAGAAAATTCTAAACAACTATTTGAAGAATTTATTGAAAAATATAATAAAAAATATGATCGTAATGAATACGATCATCGCTATGAAATCTTCGTTAAAAACCTTGAAGGAATAAATGAGAATAATAAGAATAGTAAATCGGCTATACATGGTGTTACAAAGTTCGCAGATTTGACACATGAGGAATTTACAGCTAAATATACAGGTTTTGCTATTAGTGGACGAAGGTCTGATTTTGATAATACGACAATTGAAGTTGAGACTCTATTAGATAGTATGGAAGCTCCGGAAGAATTCGACTGGCGAGATAAAAACGTGGTGACTGAAGTCAAAGATCAATCTACTTGTAATTCTTGCTGGGCGTTCAGTGCTACTGGTATGTAGATGTTTTGCCAAGTCATAATTTGTTAAATAAAATTAAAAAATAACAGTCACCCGAAACTCCATCCGCGCAGAATTAAAAAGAAAACTTAGTTAGTAGCCTATGTGTTCTTCCAGACTATGTTCTACTTGTACCTACTAAATTTCATCACTATCTGTTCAGCCGTTTTGGACATTCAAACAAACATCAATCCAATCATCTAAACTTCGCATATCATTCGCATTTATAATATTAGTAAGATTCATTATTAATCACTGATCTGTATAAATGGATACGCTGTTGGTTAGAAACGACAGCCTTTGCTTCGTTCCAACTTAAACGCGCGTGTTGAAGTTCATCATCAGCTCAATATACGTCCCCACCGAGGGGCTCGAAGCCTACCCTAAGTTAAGGGTGACTAGGCCATAGTTAACCACGCTGGTCAAGTGCAGGTTGGTTGACATCGCACGTATCTTTGAATTTCTTCTCAGATATGTGCAGGTTGCATAACCATGTTTTTCTTCACTGTAAGAAAGTCGGATAAATATACATATGTAAATCGGAAATCGAAAAACATTGGTACATGGCGAGATTCGAATCCAGGATATGCAGATTGCAAGGCAAGTGCTTCATCCCTGAGCCACCGACGCCCTGTGTTGAATTCCTGACCGCTAATTCTATCTCTATTATTAGTATAAATCTTCACTACTGACTAGTGCCAACCGCTAACATCAGCGCCAAATGGCGAAAAATCAAATAGACACAAAATATTAGGGTTTATTATCTGTCTATGTGTAGAGGTCAATTTTAATAACCAATAATTCTTTTTATTTTACTTTAAGGTTAATTTTCAAATAAGGAGGTTTAATATATTAATTTTGTATTTGTTTTATCAGGTCTTACAGAAAGCCAATACGCTATAAAATATTCAGGATTGCTTTCGTTGTCGGAAAAGCCGATGATCGACTGCTGGCCTAAGAGCGGCGGTTGTGAAATAGGAAATACCCCACATGCAGGAATTAAGTAAGGAAAATTAGAAATTTCTTTATTTTTAGATACGTGTCCATTATCCGCGCCGCCTGTATTTAAGACCGCATTTATCAACAAGCAATATGTTGTGGGCCGTGTGTGCGGTCCGTCCGGCGCGGGCCAATGGACGCGTACCTTTACCGTATGAAGACAGATTTTGAGTGCTGACTTAAATTTGCATAAGCAAATTACAAATGGACAGCACTCACGATTGACCAGTGGTAGATGAGCATATTCGCTTTGGTCTTGCTGATGTCTATGGGCGTCACATACATAAACGGCGTCAGATGAAGGCGCGGGCAGACATCTCGCCGCTTTAAAACGTTTCAGTACAAAATCTAGGTAGGTGACATGATGTGAACTTAACACAAACGGCTTTGTATTATTTGTTCCATGCGTGGCTCTGCGCTTGCGCCGTGTCTTCGCCGCTTCTGTATAATTCGCGCCTAATATTAAGAAATCCATTACTCATTTGCCCTCATATATAAATTAAAAATATATTGATTCGGTAGAAAACATACTTAGTAAATAACATATTTATTGAACAAACTACCGTAGGATATCAGGGGATAAAATACTTTCGAAAAAAAAAATTGTTACACAGAAAAGTTTTGTTTTATTTTGTATATTGCCCAAAAATTTCAATTGCAAAAATTTGCTGTGATTGCTGACATCCATAACATAGGATTGTGTTTAGGCTTTATTATATTAGTAAAGATTGAAATCTTAATCGATTATCATTATGTTTCTATTTCAGTGCTGCAGCTGAAATGGGCGGTTTTATGTTGGAAAGTGATTATCCATACGCACCACAAGTAGATAATTGTTCGTTTCAAAAGGACAAAGTGGCAGTGCGAGTTAAGCGTGGTTACCAAGTAACAGTCAATGATGAGGAGCAACTTAAGCGGTTGATTCATCAAAAAGGTCCCGTTTCCATCGGTAAGTTTATATAACTTTATAAATGTAAAAACGTAAACGAAGAAGTTAATCAATTTAACTAACAGTTTAAAGGTTGAATCTATTAATCGTTGGTTTCTGAGACCAAAATCCCTGTTTAAAACCTACTTTAACAATGGTAGAGCCCGCTGTAACAACTTCGCACGAATTGGCCCGGCTCGCCCATTGAAATATCACGACCGCACAGAAGACAGGCGTCAAGTGGAAGCAATTCCACGTTTCGTCTGATCCCCTTTCCCTTCCCACCCTTTTTCTTATAAGGAAAGGAAGGGAATTGGAGGTGGGCTTTCCGGATGAGAGGATGCATGGAAAGGAAAGATGTTTTCTTTCTATGCGTCCTCTCCTCCGTTGATTAAAGGTAGGCAACGCATATGCAATTACTTACATATGTCAATGGGCAACGGTCACTTCACTATTTCAGCGATTTCAGGTGGCAACTCGCTCGCTATGACATTATGATATTAAAAAAATATATTGTCACTTTTACCTTAGACAAAACAGATATTATGGTCTCAGAAAACAAAGATAACCCAAGACGTTATTCACCGTGACCAATTTACAATGGTTTTCGTAATTACCGAAGGGATTCAGATGATAGATTAGAGACAGTCGTAATCTTGGAATATCACATCGCATTATTTTAGGATATACAGTTTGATGCATGCAGCAGAGTGTTCTGAACATGGTTTTAGGAACTTTGAGGATCACTAATTGTCGCGTCCTCGCCAAATTAAGAAAAAATGACCAGCCAGACTATGTTTTACATCCATGCCTAATTTCATCGAGATCCGTTGAACCGTTCTGGAGAGTTCCTTGTAAGAAACATCCATCCATCTAGACATACATCCAAACATTCGCATTTATAATATTTAGTATGATAGTAAGAGGTTTTTATTGTATTATACTCGTTACGTTTTGCAGCATTATACGCGTATAGAGGATTTAGCACTTACAGTGGTCAGATAATGGATGGTTCAAAATGTCCGGCTAGTGCGAGTGCCAATCATGCCATGCTCATCGTGGGTTATGGTGTTGGTATGTATTTATTTTTATTATCCGCTATTTTATGGTCATATTTTAAATATTTTTGAAACAATCGTCTTGTTGTCTAAGGACTTTTAGCACTAGTCACTATAAATGGATAAGGCGATTGATTGGAAATGATAGTTTTTGGTATGTTCCGATTTAAATGCACACGTTCATGTTACTTGACGGTTAATTCTATGTATTATATATTATGAATCCACACCACCGCTAAAAACTGCTACTATCAGCGCCAAAATGGCGATAATCAAATAGGCACAAAATCCTTCGTCTTATAGCCGATCCATTTGTAAAGGTTTTATGGTAATAATTATTAAAGATATGTGTAAATTTAATGGACAAAATTAAGTATAAGTATATTAAAGGATGTCTGATAGAACAGAACGAAGGAAGGAAAGATGGATTGTAAATGACATAAGTGTAACACGGAATGGAATTTAGAATGTTCGCAGATAGAGATTTAATAGGAGAGATTATAACATGCTGACGTTTCGTAAGAAAATAGCAAAAAGAGTGATAATTGCCAGTGATGACAATTAAATAAAAATGTTTATATACTATTTAAATATCTACTGAACGTAAGAAATATGTGTCTTTACAGAGAATGGAACACCTTATTGGATAATAAAGAACTCTTATAGCACGCACTGGGGAGATAGAGGATACCTGAAGCTAATTAGAGGAGTAAAAGCTTGTGATCTACTATCCTATGTAGCTATGGCTGAAGTCGAATGAGTTATATTTAAAATATAACGATATATATTTCAACATTCCTTGAATTGTTTGCGAAAATAAATAAATCATTTGCTTACTCTATTATATTTAATTTATTATCTACTTTTTTATATGCTCTTCTTATCTTGCCAAGTTCGTAGAATCTTACTAATATTATAAATTCGAATGTTTAGATGGATGTTTGTTTAAAGGTATCTCCGGAACGGTTGAACATAATCTGGAAAAACGCGTTTGCTACTTATATTTACTTCTTTAATTCGGCGCGGACGGAGTCGCGGCGACAGCTAGTAGTTTATAGAATTTCGATAATAGATGTCGCTACTTGTAATGCTTAAAATAAGAACTGAACATGAAATACTGAGCATTTAAGCCTTCAATATTTCAATTGTTTTAAAACAAAGGTTCAAAGTGAATATTGCATAGGGTCAATAAAGTCACGAAAAGAAGAAAAATAACGTTAATATGTGGTTACATTTTCATTAGCCGGTGAGAAATGTTTTGGTCTATCTGCAGTGCGTCCACTCAGGCGATTGGGCTGTCATAATCACAAGAGAGGCGTCCACCACATCTGTAAACTATCATCTAAATGATCCGCTGACGTGTGACAAATGAACGCAACTTAATAGTCCATTGTAGTAGATCTTAGGGTGCGGCCATAGACTCAGCGTTATGAAACTCCGCTGTCGCCCTGCTTTGGGCATACATCGTTATCTTTCTTTTTTCAAAGAGAATATGAGCAAATGTGACGTCTGCCAAAATTAATTATTAGGAATTTAGCAAATATATAATACAATATTCGCCCCATAAGACAGCATGAGTTACCTGTTATAAAAATATGGTATGCTCTCTCTCTCTCTCAGACTCAGACTCTTACAGACCTTACCTGCTGACCTGCCTGCTACTGACCTTGCTTGCTGCTTCGTCCTTACTGTTATAACGCTATGTAATTTCTAACGTTCATAGTATTTCATGCTATAATCTACCATGTTCGTTTCTATTAAGGAAAGCGTAATAAAGTTAATGTCTCAATTAGTCATATAAAGGTCATTTCGTGTATTTTTTTTTTGTTTTTTTGGGAGCTGATGCCGCGACATAAATTTTATTCTCGAAACGCTAGTTTCATGGCCAAAACAAAAGAAATGCGTGCTCGCGAAAGATGTCTGAGAACACTTGTATTAGCGGTGGTTTTCACCGCAATATGTCACAGACAATCCTTGTGGCATTGCAGTACTGAACATTGTCACCTTCACTTTAGATTAATGTCATAAAATAGTTTTCAAGTAGATTTTAACGATCATTCTATTTTTCTTTTTCGCTGTTAATGCCCAGGTTTTACTTCTAAAGAAAAACGAGAAAACTTCGTTTTCGTTATAACTTCAATTGTGCTTTTATTTTATTTATCCTTTAATAAAAAATAATTGCTTAATTTATGTCATACCGTTATAAGAATCCTCGTTCAAATTATTTTTATTAGATATAGTTTATTTTTAACTTTTAAATTTTACATTAGAACGTCGGTGGCTCAGGGGTCAAGCACGTGACTTGCAATCTGCAGGTCCTGGGTTAGTATCCCGCTATGTACCAATGTGTTTTTTCGTTTTCTAATTTACATACGTAGGAAAACATCGTGATGCTACCTGCACATAACTGAGAAGATATCCAAAGATATCTGTGAAGTCAACCACCACCACCCACACTTAGCCAGCGTGGTTGACTATGGCCTAGTCACTCTCAACTTAGGGTAGGCTCCGAGCCCCTCGGTGGGGTCGTATAGCTGATGATGATGATGAATTATTTCCTTTGTCAATGTCCGAATGTAACTTTTATAATCCTTTGTTTGATCGAACCTTGAGTCTGCTGTTGATAATAGTAAAAATAAAATAAAGTGAATTAAAAAACATAATAAATTCATCTCCGTTTCTACAGTGCGTATGTTTGTAACTTGTAGATAAACAGAACAAGTGAGACGGTACGTTACGGGCGGGCAACTTTCGGCATGTCCGTCAGAATTAGCGTCCGGCTTTAACTATCGGCCCGGGGCCCACCTCAACCATAAATTAGATGCTGCTTGAGCGGTACAAAGGTTGACTTTGTTTCCATTGTTGCACAGCTTTTATAACATTATCGTGTTAGAAATAAAATGATGTACTCGTATGTATGTATTTTTAAATGTACTCATTATCGAATGTATAGCTGCAGAAGATTGTTTTAAAATCTCTAAAGAATTAAAACTTTTTTCTTAAATATCACAGAATTTATGGTTTTAAAGTTTAGTTTTGTTATCAACATTTAATTCAAATTAAAAAAAAAAGTTAATTCGTTTAAAATATTTTAGAATAATCCTAGCTTCAAAAATGTTGTTTGTGCTTATTTGTATATTTTATTTAATTATAATTATCATATTTATGTTTTACAGTTACCGTACCATAGATTGTACATAATATCGGATGGTAATGGAACCATGGCGTAAAGCATGGGCCATAGACTTTTAATCAATCTGCACGAGCGGTGCGGGACTGCAAAAATGGCGGCAGGTTAGTTTGTGGCTCGGCTTAATTAAAACCATAAGGAAAACTGTCTGTCCGTTGGTCGGTTTCACGTGTCCCTGATATTTTTTGAGGGTTTTTTTGGCTTTTTTTGGTTAGCTCTTATTAACCTAGTTAAGATAACTTAATTGGCAATTATGTTTAATGTTTTAATGAACATTTTTCTTGACATTATATAGATTTCTTTAGCTCTTGGTTCGCCTATCATTCGTCTCTAGATGTTATTATGATTTACCTAAGTATTCAGTTTTACTCCTAATATTCATCCTAGTAGTATAATCTTTACATTTTAAAATAATATAACTAATTATTTAATTGGGAAATATTCACAGATTATGTCAAATTATCTCAGTGTTAAAGATCGTAATCTCTCACAATCCCCACATAACAATTTAAACATATAAAAGCAACAAAGAGGTAGCATAAAGGTTATTCTCGCTCGGGTCATTTCTCAATTCCAAAACCCTGTCCAATCTAAACATTTTTCGGTACATAGAGAATCATATTCAAAACAATCCGCAGCGAAAAACCGATCTGCCGGCCCCGCGGGAGTCGTTCCAGCGCGCTTTACTTTTTCACATTATTCCCGGGGCCGGGAACGGTGCATGTGATATCCATTACGTAAGTGTTTATCTTCTGAACCCCGTATTCGTGTACTCCACATATTGCCTTAGCATATTACCTGTGGACTTTAATAACGTCGGCCCCGCAGAGTTTCAATTGAATCTTTAATTTGTTCTCTGGTAAGTTCTCGTTTCAATCTGGTATAAATCAAAATCTATATATATAAAAGAAAGTCGTGTTAATTACACTATTTATAACTCAAGAACGACTTTACCGATATGGCTGAAAATTGGTGAGGAGTTAGCTTACAGCCAGGAGAAGGATATAGGATACCATTTATTCATAATTTTTTTTTGAATTTATGCCTTAAAGAGTTGCTTTTTATTTAACTTACTAGAGGATGGATGGTTGGGCTACACTAATTAATTTTTTTTTAAATATACACGCGGACGGAGTCGGGGGCGACAGCTAGTTTATTATATAATTATTATATAAGTATTTTTACTTTATATTATATCCATTATTGGTGTATGAATTTCAGTTATTTTTATTGATTCATGCAACTTCAACAACGCAAATGCAGTTCCTCTGGTGTTGCAGATGTTCATGGGTGTCGTTGATCACCTTGGTGTTCCCACCGTTCGTTTACCCCCTTCTCTTATTAAAGAAAACTTACTTTATATACGTTTATTTAGTATCATAAACAAAAAATAAAACATGCCCTATCTCTCATATCAAACCGTTTACCCCTTTAGAAGATGCTGATTTGAATCTCAAAAGATTTCGGTTTTGAGTTTTCGTGCGCCTTTAACGTTACCGTATGTTAGGAATAAACTCTGTTGAGTTAAAAATTGCTCAGCCTTTTAACAGTGGTAGAGCCCGCTTTAACATCTTCGCACGAATTGGCCCGGCTCGCCCGGTGAAATACCACGACCACACAGAAGACAGGCGTCAAGTGGAAGCAATTCCGCTTTTCGTCTGATGAGTGTGCGTCCCGGAGGCCTAATTTAGTCCTCTTTCCACTTCCCATCCTTTCCTTATAAGGATAAAAGATAAGCAACGCATATGCAATTGCGTATGTCTATGGCCAACGGTCACTTCGCTATTTCAGCTATTTCGGGTGGCCGCTCGCTCGTTTGCCACCTTTTGATATAAAAAAAAAGCCTGAAAACTTCAAAAGCTACGAACCAATCCACCATAATTATACCGATTTCTTAAATACTACTAAAAATAGAAAATAAATTACACTAAAATCCTTCTATTCATTACAATTTATTCTATTTCACATTACAAAAATCTTATATGTATATAAAATTCTCGTTACACAATGTTAGTGACCATACTCCTCCAAAAGAGCTTGGCGGATTTTTTTGAATTTATCAATAGGTCTGAGAGTAATCTACTATCTATTTTTTAATCCCACGAAGACAGAAACGCGTGCGACAGCTAGTGTATTTGTAAAATGCTTAATAATTAGTTATAATAAGCAGTTTGCAAACAAGTCGAGTTCGCTTAGCGTTCGATTGCATCGGGTATCGTTGGTCTAATTATAATTGCTGTCGGTTTGTCCTCGCGTCCTGATTATACCCGTTTCCCGGGGATTTGTTATGACCGCGCTAATTGCTCACATCCCGGTCGAGGTTCGTTCCTTCCTCATTAGCGGACGATTGGGCGCTGATGACGTCACGCCGCTGATACGTTCGACCCGCCTGAAAGTCATATGCGCCTGGTACCTATTGGTAACAATAGGTTTAGATTAATTAATTTATTACACTGATAACGTATATTTTTATCTATATATGTTTGTTAATTTCTTGTTCAAATGAATATCCCGTGATGAAAAACTCAACATCTTAATAAGTGAAGATTATTAAACCTAATTCTTTTATTTATAGTACCTGGATGACTGGAACCTTGAAAGGACATTTTCTAAAAATGAT